TTCCACTGGCTTGTGGCTAATGATGTGGGCTACATGAAGTAGTAAGTATATATTATTTGATACCATTGTAGGCTAAGAATATAAAACATCATAATATTGTCATGCTATAATAGACTACCTGTAAATCTCTTGTTCACACATCTAGGCCTGTTTTCAGTGATTAGGACTCGTTTACTTATTATCACAATTGCAGCAATGATGACTGTACTAAGCTGTTAATATGATTACAGCATACTGGACAGGCACAGAGCAGAGGTCAGGAACCCACAGAGAAAGGGAGAGATAGGAAATCAGTGGGTCAAAGACTACCTGGCAGAGTCCACAGAGAGCTTCCAACAAGTGTCCACAGTCCTCGAGGTCAACGTTGACAGGTGTATTTACGGTCAGAGAGAGTTTGAGATTCAAACCTTTCAGGAGATGTGGGAACTGTACAGCCAGTACACCGCCAAAAAGGACAGACCAGAGCAGTTCAGCACTGAGCAGAGAGACGGAATACAGCAGGCATACAGTTCTGTGAGGAGGTGGTTGCACACACCAGTGACCCACATCACCAGCGTGCAGATGAAAAGGTTCAGACAGTATATTCATGACAAGGAGCAAGTAAGTGTTGTGACACAGAAGAGCACAACTGCAAAGTAAATAAGAGTTATTCACATTATTGATCTTTTAATCACTGTAGCACATTCTGCTTGTTTGCTGTTGGTAAGTAAAACCTGATATGTCATAAAATGTAAATATTTACAATACATTTGTTGTTCAGCAACTTCTGGCAAGCACCTCCAAATATGATATTCCACCGTGGTCTGGTGGTGACGCAGAACTAATAGTTCCATGCCAGTCTGTGGAAGGTAAGCAGGAGACAAAGCAACTGACCATCAAACATTTTTTTTTTGAAAATAAAAAATGCTAACAATACAAAATTGCCTTGTTTGGTATATTCTCAGACTTAATCAGATCAAAGCAGCCTGATCCTGCCGTCCAGCCTGTTGTTCAGCCTGTTGCTCGGCCTGCCGTCCAGCCCACTGCACAGATCACTGTGCAGCCCAAGGTGCACAAGCAGCACAAGCAACACAAGCAGCACAAGCAACACAAGAAACACAAGCACAAGTCCCCGTCCACTGGCCAGCCCACAGTTTCCCAGTCCACCAGCCAGCCAACAGTGTCCCTGTCCACAAGCCAGGGTCATGATTTTCCACTGGAATCGCCTGACTTTCCTGTAAGTGATATTCACATTATATGCAATCAGTCTAGAGGTGGTTCAAAAGTTTGACATGACTTTGTGCAATAAAATGTTGTTTTGTATGTGTCAAATGTGTCCCAGGTGGAGCTGGAGGGTTGGGTGCGTCTGTGGGAAAATCCCAACGGCATCCCATCTGCCGACATATCGTGGCTAAAAGAGGACACAGAGCGAGGGCTGCTCACCCCTGTACAAATGTACAAGGACGTCACGGGCCTGCTGAAGAGGCGGCGGGTGATGAAGTCTGACCGCATGTGGTTTTACCCACCANAAAAAATGCTAACAATACAAAATTGCCTTGTTTGGTATATTCTCAGACTCAATCAAATCAAAGCAGCCTGATCCTGCCGTCCAGCCTGTTGTTCAGCCTGTTGTTCGCCCTGCCGTCCAGCCCACTGCACAGATCACTGTGCAGCCCAAGGTGCACAAGCAGCACAAGCAACACAAACAGCACAAGCAACACAAGCAACACAAGCAACACAAGAAACACAAGCACAAGTCCCCGTCCACTGGCCAGCCCACAGTTTCCCCGTCCACAAGCCAGGGTCATGATTTTCCACTGGAATCGCCTGACTTTCCTGTAAGTGATATTCACATTATATGCAATCAGTCTAGAGGTGGTTTAAAAACTTGACATGACTTTGTGCAATAAAATGTTGTTTTGTATGTGTCAAATGTGTCCCAGGTGGAGCTGGAGGGTTGGGTGCGTCTGTGGGAAAATCCCAACGGCATCCCATCTGCCGACATATCGTGGCTAAAAGAGGACACAGAGCGAGGGCTGCTCACCCCTGTACAAATGTACAAGGACGTCACGGGCCTGCTGAAGAGGCGGCGGGTGATGAAGTCTGACCGCATGTGGTTTTACCCACCAAACCTCCAGGCTACATCAGAGGTGGGCCTCCAACTCCACAGCTCTTTTTTCCGGAGCCGCGTGTTTGTGTGGCGCCCTGTTGGAGTGTGGAGGTACTCTCTGAAGTGTCCTCGAGGGGATGAGTGCGTAGGTAGATCATGGAACCTGCACCTCTACAAGTCTGGCTACCATCACCGGGTAAAAAACACTTCGTCTGTATTACAGTCTTTGCATTACAGTTCAATATTTGTTACTATGTGGAGCGACATGCAAGAAAACACAGATAACCATATGCTGCAATTGGCCTTTATTTGATCAGATTTTTTTCCACCCTCATGTATTTCAGGTACGTCACATCTGTGATATATCCAACTGGTACACGGTGATCGCTGAGGTGCTGTGCTGTGGACCGTGCACAAAGGCAGCCAGGGGCAGAGAAGGTGGCAAAATGGGTCGGCGGTTGGCGTGGGATGCAGCTATTTTGTGTCAACTTAGTGAAGCTCATCAAGCCATGTTTCCTGCCATCCTCACCAGCAAGTGAGCATCCTGGACATCGTGTGCACATTTAACAAGCTTTAAAGTCGTCACTCTAGTAAACTTCAACGTAATGATTGTGACTCTACTTACAGGCGTGGTGTGGACAAGAATGTTGTGCGCCTTCTGAGAGACCGGACTGAAGGGAACACTATGGTCAAAGTGTGGCGGCAGGTACAGGAGAATCACGTTGAGGAGTACCTGCACCGTGAAGACCTGTACACCACACTCCTCATGACTATAGTGAAACCCGGAGGCATCGTCTCTTCATTAGGACACACGTTCCAGGCCCCACCTCCTCCAAGAGAGCTTCCCTCTGCACGGTTGCTTCGTCACGCCTTCCTGCTGGCAGAGGCCAACAACGTGCAGGATTACCGGAGCCAGATCCTCTCCACTTCTGGCACTGTGCTGAAAATGGACTCCACCAAGAAAGTATGTCAAATCAAAACATAATGCCATAATGTACAATTCAAAACATATTTTTGCATTCCTTTTATTCTGTTTTGAATTTAACAAATGTTTACATTGCTGTGAAATGATTTCTTAAAAAAACTGTTATCTTAAAAGGGTTATTACATTGTGCAAACTTTTTACAATTATTTTTAAGGTGATGAAGAAGCTGTCTGGGCAGGGACAAGGCTCAGCAGAGTGGTTCACCAGCATTGGGAACGAGTACTCTCAGATCGTTTCCTTTGTGCTGACCTGCGAGGAGTCTACGGAGAAGCCTGGGCCAATGTGCAGAGGAGTTGTGGAAAGGTTTCAGCTGGCCAATCAGCCTGTCCCCAAAATCCTTTACGTGGACCGTGGATGTTGCCGTGCAGGGCCCAACAGCAGTGGAGACTTTGTTCCAGCCTTGGGTGGACTGTGGGATGGTCGTGCGTCTGGACGTCTTTCACTGGATCCACCGGTTCGACGCAGCCATCCGCACAGAGTCACACTCCAAGTACGCTGCTTTCAAGTCTGCACTAGCTGGAGCCGTGCTGGCCTACAACCACACAGACCTGGAGTTGATCATTAAGGCTGTCAGAGCCAAAGACCGAGCAATACTGCAGTCTGTCTCTGACAAAGACATTGTCCAGCACCACATCTCCAGGGAGCAGCTGAAGCACCACGTGAGGAGGGTCACACTCGGGGCTCAGGAAACTTTCCAGCTCATCCAGCTGGCCATAGAGGAGCTGAAAGGTCCTGCAGGACTGGACGAGAGTGGAGTGAGCTTCTTCAACACACCTGGTAAAAGGCAAAAGTTAATACAACACTGATACACATAGTGTAGCATACAAAACAAATATAACACACTGTATGTATGTCTACTTACAGAGGCCATTGATGAGATGTGGGCAGCACAACAGAGGCATCTGGAGTGCATCCAGGATCCACCAGACATGAACATGTACAGGGTGGCACACACCACAACAATTAACAATGTCGACATGCCCTACTATAAGTGCCTGCGTGGAAGCAACAGCCTGGAAGGATTCCACAAAGCTCTTCCAAACATGATTCCAGGTGCACATGTGTAGTCTCTGTTTTTGCACAGTTCAGTTAATGTGTTAAAACCTTTGCAGCAGTACCCGTCATTATTCTAATGCTGTTTATTGTAATGATCAGGTCCCCACTGTGCAGCACGGCCCTATCAGGTTTACCTGATAAGTGGCATTGCACGGTGGAACTCTGACAGGAGCTCTGATGCCGTGTTTGGGGGCAAAGGACGGCATCACAGGACCTACTCGGCACCACTAATTGACCGCCTCAACGCCCGCTGTCAGCAGCTGTTTGGAGAGTCTGTGGAGGACAACTTCAGGGCCCCTGCTGCTGTATCCTTCAACAAGCTGCTTGGGCTGGAGTACCTGTTCAATCAGAGCACAGGTGAATCCGGAGCCTTCTCTCTTCGGGACATTGTCAGTGACGGACCTGGTCCCGAGGAGGAGATGGTTCAGCCTGGGCAGATTTTTAACAGGAGGATGCCTTCAGTCAGAATCCTCTTTCTGGCTTTCAGTTCATGCACTTAATTTATTAAAGTGGTCAGTGCTATAATAATCATAAGGGCATTTCTGAAGATACAAGTGTGAAGAATGGGTTGGAGCTTCAATCAATCACAGCCTGGGACAGCAGAGAAAAGCACAAGATTAGATTCTATAGGTGTTAAAATTTTTAGAGTGAGAGACTGAACTGAAGTCACTGCAAAGCTCTGACTTGTGTGAAGAAATTCTTCCAGTTTTTCTCTGCATCGCATTCAAACATAGAAACCTCAGGTGTCTCCTGTTACATCTCCATGTGCTTTGAGTTATTCTTGTTAGAATTCATCTTCTGTTGTCTTAATACAATAATTATGGGCTGTTAAAAGAATCTTTATCAGTGAACATGTGATGAGATGAGGAAGTTGCAGGAGTCATTTTGTGTGTTGTAACTCACGCCTCCGACCACCAGGTGGCACCTCTGTGTTTGGATTGAGGTGGATGAAGTCCAGCTGATGCTGATGTGTTGGGTTTTGTTGTGGCTGCACAGTGGATTCAGATCCAGGCTGCAGGACACTGTGGATCCAGGTGAGCTGAATCAGTTGTCTCTGCACTGCAGCATAGTGGAGTTGATGTGATCTAATGATCACAGGTTTTAAAAGAGTTAAACTTTAGATATATTTCTGGATGAAATAGCTGAACTTCTCCTCCGTCTGTCCTCGTACCTTCTGCTAACTGTGTCTCTGCTCCATTAGAGTCCATTTTGTTTTGTTTTTATCAGTAAACAGCCCACAACATCATAAACACATTTGTTTTAGCTCAATAATCACTCTGATTTGATTTAAGAGCAGACATGTAACAAAACTCTGTTTTCTCTGTTTCTTTCGTTGACAGTGAGGTGGACCGAGGAGGAGGAGGACAAAATGAGATCAGGAGCCACAACTTGAACCACCGGGACACAAATGAAAGTCGATGCTACAGAATGAAATGTACAGAATTTTTAGAACAAGAGAAGAAGACCTGGAGGAAGAAGCTCTGCAGCCTGACGGTGAGTTTCACAAACTCTGATCATTCAGCACTGCAGCTGATCTCCAACCAATTAACAATTTGCAGTGACAGTGCTGCGTTTTACTGACACTTACACTTTTTTGTAGCTCTTCATTCTAACAGTGTTTGATTTAGTCTTTGTTTCTTTCTGTCTCATTTACTTTCTTTCAGGCTCTAACAGACCAGCGTTGCAGTGACGGACTCACAGACTCTCCTCGACCTCTGACCCCCACCGCAGGGCCTCAGCATGGACCACCGGCCTCAGCTTGGCTATCAGCGCACAACAGGAGGCTGTACTTGTTCCCTGCATGGAAATAGTCCAGTGTGCTGAGTGAGGACATGGAGATGCTAAATTCAACATCATTTATTGAGGTGCATCATCTTACTCACACATGTGAAGCAACTCTGTGACCTGAAGTACAGATTTTAAAAAGTAAATGCACTTTTTTTCTCTCTCTCCTGTTTGCATGTAAAACATGTGTGGAGTAACCTGTCCTAATTTTAAAAACATTGTTTAGATTTATTAAAAATTTTCTTTAAAACAACAATTGAAAAACAACCAAATGGACTTAACTTACTGCCGAAACAACAAAAAAGATTTATTACAAAACAGCAAATAATCTACTGATTTACTGCCAAAAGCAAACAAAGAGTCAATTCACTGTAAAACAACAAAAAACAAACAACAAAATAAGACTGAGTGAAATGACTGCAAAACAAATGACTTCAAAGAATAAAAAAAGATGTTAACTGTATGCAAAAGAGTCACAAAGAAACAAAAGAATCCATTTTAGGGGGAAACAACAAAAAAGCATCAACAAAATTACTGCAAGACAACAAATAGCAAATAAAATGTTGTTAATTTTGTAAAACAAACAAATGAAACCCCCAGAATCCATTTACTGCAAAATAACAAACAAAAGAGTTGATTTACCGGAAAAAAATAAAACCAAAGCGTCCACTTACTGCAAAACTCAAACAAACCAAAATGATTCATTATGCAGGAAAAACACACTGAATGAAGAGTGAAGAAGAACACAGAAAAAGCAAATAGAAAATAGTCAATTTCCTGCTACACCAAAGCAAATAAAAACAAACAAAGAAGTCAAAAAAATTAAAACAAAAGTCATGTTGCTGTCGGAAAAACAGAACAAAGTGAAACAAAGCAGCCAATTTGCTGCCAAAAACCCAGAAAACAAACAAAACTACGTCAATTTACGACACAAACATCGAACAATTAACAAACAGGAGCGAATTTCGTGGAAAAGTAAAAAAGAAAAAAAACAAACAAAAACAAAAAGTTAATGTAATGTGTTGGAGAAACTGTCTTTTCTCCGCGTGTTCGTTTTTAAAGATGAGACAAGATTCAGCTCGGTCTCAATTAATCAATTTGATCACACACTGAATATTGCATGACAGAGCTCTGGATCAAACTCTCCCTGGCATCAGACAGAGTCAGACTAACTTACCCTCCCAGCTTGTATCTTTTATACGTCCATATCACCCCTATAATTATCACAGTTGTTGTTTCCTCTTCGTGTGTTGTTTATCTATCGAAACCAGCAGTCTGTGTTCACTCCTTTGGGTTCACTCCTTCATCCTCCCAGGAACCACCTGTCCTGCACCTTTTCCTTTGTTAATAACAACTCAGTTCTCTTCCTTTTTGGCAGCAATCCTCCCCATGATCATCCCTTGATGTCCTCATCTGACTCCAAACCGTCCATTTCTCCTTATGAGAAAAGGATCTAAACATCTTCTTTCATAATCCTTTGTTGCGAACTTTGTATCTTGCAAACTTCAATAATTACATTTCATAATGGCTTAACGATTACTCGTGTGTTGATTCATCAAAGGCAGTTACTTCTTTTACTGGTTTACTGAATATGATACTTTAATGGCCTGAGAAATACACTGATTATAGAAAAATAATGTTCATTGCTTTATTAAGAATACAGTAATACTCAAGAGATAAAAATAATACTCAACAAATGCAAAATAATCATCAATCAACAAACAAAATAGTTAATTTCTTGCAAATTTTTTTGTAAAATAGCAAACTAAACACAGACATCAAACCAAACATAGAAAGTATAAATTTTATGCAAAAAAAAAGAAAGTAAAATCAAACAGCAACAGTCACATACAGAAATAGTGAATTTCCTGCAGTTTGGATGTAATTCTAGGTCACATATATTCCAGCATTTTACAGCCTGTATTTCAGTGTGTTGTAGATTTATTTAAACTTAAAATACTGTCACTGAAACGTTGTTTAAACAAAAACTAAACTCACTGAACAGGTTCCATGTTCTGACACAAACACTCAGATACTAACTGAGTTCAGCGTGTTTACTGTTAAACATAGATCCTATTTATTTATTTTTATTTTACAAACACATGATTTGAATTTATTATCATTAGTTGTTTTCTTGTCTTGGATCTGAATCCTGACTTAAAGACGTCAGCATTTGTCCCGGAGGCTCCATCATGATGGTGTTAACAAGGAGCTGGTGGATTCAATCAGCCTGATTGGAGCAAACCAAGTGGACTGAGGAAAGGGGGGGCTTGGAAATGAGATGTTCTGTTTGGTTTGTTGTTTGTGTAGTTTAAGTAGGAATAGATAGAGTGGGGAGTGAGTGTTTGTATCGTCTTTGGGAGAATTGTGGAAATAGTTGTACATAAAGTCAATATATTAATAGTAGCTCTTGGCGTAGACACCATCCCTACCTGGATGGTAATGGTACAGCCTGGTTCATGTTTGTACTGAGTGGATTTCTGTGCCCTTCTGTCCTGGTTGTGGTTTCAGAGGAGCATTAACCACTTCAGTAAATGTTTAAAGTGTGGAAATGCAACATTAATTTGAATATTGTGTAAAAAAAAAAAACAGATACTTCTTAACACAGATTGCATCTTTTATTTCAGTTAAATACAGTCCATTTAGGTGCTTTAAAGCTGGTTTACCTTCCTTTGATTCTGCTATCAGTTCATTTTCAGCAGTGATTTGTGCTTCATGTGTATGTGTCAGAATCTCAGCAACACCAAACCTGGCTACTGTCATTGTCTTTCAAGTGTTATTCAAAACTAAATTACAGAAACACTACTTTAGTCTTATCTTGTATAACAGAACACAAACATTTAATTTGATAGCCAT